CAAGGTCTATATAAGAGAAAATCAAGGTCTATAAAGGGATGAATATGGTTGCCACAATAGAGCAGAATTAAGAGCTGGAGTCCGTCTTTCGCAATGCCAAAAGGGAAAGAGGCAACAATACTGACCTAATAGCCGAGCAAATGGAGTTGTTGTTCACCTTGCAGAATCAATTGAAGCAGGAGGTGGTCAACACCATCATCGACTGAAGGAATCAAAAGAATCTCATATCACCAAGTCTAGTCAAACGATTCCTCATCCTTTTCCATACCCACTCGCTTGATTCAAATGCACTAAGAAATGCAGATAAACATGCAATGTCAAGCAGCTTTTCCATCTCCTGCGAGTACATTGATGAGATGTTGTATGAAGTGATACCTTTTGATATCTATCGGATTATATTTGAGAGCCAATATCTATAAGACTGATATATTATCTTCTATCAAAGAGCTCATCAATAATATCTCTATAAGGATAGTGTTGGGCATACCGTCAATAGAAATAAGAATTGTCAAGCTCTGAATTTGGTGGCGGCTGGAAAAGTGAAGAGGATTATAAATTTATACTAATTGTTTTCTTCTGCTCACGGTCAAATTGGAGAAACCTGACAAGAACATGCAGGCCTATTCTCAAAGAGAATCCAGTACGAGCTTGAAATGGAGAAGGAAAAGTGTTACCTCTTATGCTTAGGAATTGGGGGTCGAGTATTCTATAACTGGTAGATGAATAGAAAAATATTTTTTGAGAGATAGCTGATTTCTTTTGAGAAGAGTTGAAGAGTTGTAGAGCATGAGATCAATCCTCTCTCTCAAGCTCAAGCTCTATCCAATAGTCTAATGTACCAAGAACTCAATGTTGGAGAATGAAGAATCAAGAAGAAAGTTGGGGAGCTACTAACCAAAAGGGTCTTAAAGTCCAGCAGGTCGCCATGTCGATCTCTAATTTTGATGTTGCAGAAGATGGATGGTGGTTTGCAGATTTGTGGTGACTACCAGAAATGGAATAAATCACAATGAAGAACCATTTATGGACGAGTGATAGCATGCTCAATCTTTACTAAGCTAGATTAGAAGTTAGTATATCATCAAGTTTGAATTCAATAAATAAGATGTGGAAGACCACATTCAAGACAAGGTAAGGACTATTCAAATGGATGGTGGTGCCTTTGGAACTTTAAAAGGCATCGATGAAGTTTATGTATTCAGTGAACGCCATCCTGAGGGCATTCATGGAGGATTTTTTTATTTCCTATCTAGATGAAATCCTGATATGCCACTCAACCTAGGAGGAACATCTCAAATAAGTGAAGAAAGTGTTCAAACTCCTAAAATAGTAGCACATTGCCCTCAAACAAAAGAGGTGCAACTTTAAGAAGAAAAGACTATTCTACTTGCACATCAAAGTTAGTGGCGAGAAGAACAAAATTGAAAAAGATAAGCTCAAGGCAATCAAAAATTGGCCTTGATCACAAAATGTAACTAACATGATGACTGATGAGTTTCATGGGAGCTTGCCATTATGTGAGGAAGTTTATCTGTAGCCTTGATACTCATCGCACCTCAACATGGACTAACGAAAGCCAACCAAAAACTTTTCCTGGAGGAAAACATGAGGGCATGTTTCCCTTTTTAAGGACATAAGAGAGGCGTATATCTTAACTTGGTAAATTATCATAAATAGTTCAAAGTGGAGGCAGTTGATGCTTCCAAAAATGCACTGAGCACGATTCTGATGCAAGAAAAAAGACTTGTACAAAAGATTTACACAATGTATAATAAGTTACTTGCACTTTACCAAAAGTGAAGCGACCTTATCTATTATTAAGCCCGATCGAGCGGCTCGGGCAATGATCGGAGGCACGCATGAAGTCGGCGGGGGCGGAGGCTGGTCCGGCCGGAGGCAGGCGGGTTCGGCGGCGAGTCCTTGGTCGGCGGCAGGCAGGTCGGTCGGTCCTTGGTTGGATCCGACTGGTGGAGGCTAGGGCACGATAGTGAGTCAAGCCCGAGCGGATGCCGGAGGCAGCACGGATCGGCCGGCGAGTACAGGAGGATGGAAGTCGACAGCGAAGAGCGGGTTCTAGCCTGCGATGCTGGGCTTGGAGTCGGAGAATGGAGTTCGTCCGGCTTCGACAATGCAAAGGTAAGTCCCCGAATTTCTCTTTGCGAATTCCTGTCGTTCTGAGAGCGTGTGTATGTGCATAACCGAATGAGAGAAGATTTTATGTCGTGAGTATGTCGGTTTACTGAAACGTCGTGTCCGATCGGCTATGTCGGTGATTTCGGTCGTGAGGTGGCCGTTACAATCAACAAAGAACAAAATGGTTGATATGTTATCTCATCATTCGATAACACTATCAGCAGTAATGTAACTACAACCAACTCCACAAGAAGGATAATCTGACCTCAATAAGTAGGATAAAACTACTAAAAAGAATAGGAGGATGTCCTAGAAAAATGATATATTGTTAGTGAAGGATTGCTCTACAAGGGGCACTAGCTCAGTGGTCTCAAGAATGGCGATCAAATGAAGTGAATCCAAGAAATGCACGTCCCTAAAGTGGTTGAAAACTTTGAAATTTATAAGACTTTACAAAAATTGTAGAGATGTCAACTAGCCTAGAATGCACTTACATGTGGAAAATTTTCCTAATAGAATGTGTACTTTGTTGCACCTCAAAGTAATCGCATTGGAAGAAAGGACTGCATATTGTCTTGCCTATGATGATTCAACCATGGAAAGACATTTCCATATACTTCATGGGATGATTATTGCCGATCCATAGGACTCATAACTATATTTTTGTTGTGGTGGTTGATGATAACTAACATCATGTCATGCAAGATGAATATCACAAGAAAGAAACGATGTCTCTTCTTTGAGGTGCAATTTAGTTACCGAGCTCAATCATCTTGAACACTCCACTTCCTTAATTTGTTATGAAAAGCACTTTGGTTGTGATGGATACAAGGCTAAAGACAAAACTGTCTTCTACCTCGTTCATCTAAAGACAAACCCACCTTCTTCTAACTGTCAACCAAATTAAGGTGGTGAACAAATTGTAGTGCATATGCTGCATCCAAATTATTAGCATGAAATATGACCTATATCTAGTTTATTTTCAGCAGGGAGGTCCATAGTTTAGCAAATCAAGCTCTATTTATGGTGTGCCTTGGGTATTGCCTTAAAGTACATTTTACTTGGAATTCAATGCAAAAACAATGATCAACCCCAAGATCATGGATGAAGATCTCTAGAGAGCCTAAGGATTCCTGGGTAAGATAAAATAAAATCACTCTGAGGCACATGATACACCTTAGATTTCCAAATTAGGGTTTGCCCTAATTTTCCTTCAAGGGAGAAGTTTCTCCACCAAATCAAAGTTAGCTCAAGACAAAAGAATGAGAGGAAGAACAAAAGAGCTTTGCAATAATCTTCAAGACAAAACCAAAGACAAAGCTAGTCCACTTCGAGAAGGACCAAATCTCCCAAAAGAAACCCTAGAGAAAACAAGAGGGAAAAGAGAAAGAACTTTCTTCACATGATGCCCCAAAACAAACCCTAAAGGTTCCTTTCATACAATCTCACAACTTCCCCCTCATCCCTAAATTACCCCCCATCATCCACCCTCCATTTTCCCCCCAAAAGTTAGCCTCTCCCCTTGATGCCCAAGGATTTAAATAAGTGGGCCCAAAGGGCCCACCTTGACCCTCTCCCCTTTCTCCCCAAGTTCGGCCGCCCCCTCCCTTTGGCTCACCTGGGCCGGATGCCCCCCCCGCCGCCTCCTGTAGACCCGCGTGGGTCTCGGATGGACCGGCTCAGCACACCTCATAAAAATGCAACAGCAATACAAGAGTTAGCATGACTGGCACATAATAATGAAGTTTGAGAAGTTTGAAGAAAGAGATCATTTGAAGTCACATGGAGAAATTAAAGGCTGTCAGGTAAAAACTTGCCCACTTACAAGGAAATCTCTTAATGAAGAATATAAAAATTTTAAAATCATTCAAGCCTTCAATGCTAGACAATGAGATGGAGAAGTTCTACCTACTCTCAACAAACCTTCTGCTAGGCAAAGAGGATCAACCAAAGTAGGACCAGCTCTCGGAGAAAAAGGCCACAACAACCCAATGAGGTTCTCTACCAAATTAACAAGAAGGGGTAAGTGACGCCCAAGGTAAAATATAAACTCAAGAGAAAGAAGCTGGGATGCTTTCTCTCCTCAAACTTGATTCACATGAAATCTCAACCTTATGAGGCAGCATATAATCAAGAGAGAATTTCTGATATTGTTGAGAGTATATCGAACCATAGCATTGCAACATAAATGAATTCAGTAGAGAAATAGCTCAAGAATAGGCATTGGGAAATTCCCGCAAGTCATGATCAAAGTGACAAGACAAAGTCAAGAGTCAAACAATGCCTTAGAGATTAGATGATTTTAGACTCAAGAAGAGAATTGATCATGCAATAATGATGATAGTTTAGCAATATCATTCAACAATTACATCATCGACGGGGAACAAAAGATCTCACAAGTATCATATCTAGAGTCCTAATTGACTAAAATAAATCTGCCAATCATATTTCATACCATAATGCATTAAATGCAAAATATATTGTTACAGACCTTCCATCTCTATAAAGGGAACTCAAAGAAGAGCTTGTTGCCATTGTGCCTTAAGTCATAGGCTTGAGAGAGACAAGTGGAGCTGGAGAGGTTTCTCCATTGTTTAATCAAACTCCAAAAAAATTCATAATTGACTCATCTTGAGCCAATAAATTTTTAGATCCCACAACAATAATTATCAAAAAAATAAAAAATGAGCAATTAAAAAATAAACACAAAAGATAAAGGACAAAAAAAGGAAAGAATTGAAAGAAGAGCACTCCTAGGAACAAGGTGGCAATGCATATAGAAGATTACAAGTAAATTTAAATGCCAAAGCCAAACTAGAAAAGCAAAACCAGTTTCCAAAAAATTTGCAAGCTTACACATTAAATTAGCCTAACTTACATTCTAAGATATACAGATTAAACTTCTACGACAATGAAGGAGAGCTCAATTCATCACTCAAATCCAATTATTTATGCTCGTGTAACCTAATAAAGCTGCAACTAACCATTGAAAAAAATTATAAAACTTTATGGTTCTTTCCAAAATGATCGCATCAATGTTCCACATCCATTCTATTAGCTGCAGCATCCCTTACCTCCTTCAACCTCGAAGGAGTAAACTCCAGTTCCTTTTGCCTCAACTCCAGAATCTTTCTTTCATTCTCCTTCATCGACCTTTCATTCTCCAGTTTCATCTTCTCCATTTCCCGATCCTTCTTGCTCCGAAACCTCTGCCACTTGAAGTTCCTCTTCTCCAACTCCAAAGCCTCGGCCAGAATCGCCAATCTCTCCTGTTTAATTTGCAATGCCCGTCTTTGGAACCAATCCAACTTCTCCGATGCTGTCCTGTTGTTGTCCTGAAATACTAAATCAATCTCAGCAAGGAAATCGTCAACACCCAACTGCCCATAGTCATCACTCTTCCCTTCATCATCATCTACATCCTCACTATCCTCATTAACTTCATGCAAAATGCCAGAACTGGTAAGAATTTCATTCCTCAATCCAAAAATTTGTGAATCCGGTATCCTCTGCCCGTTGTGATAAGCGCACATCTCCCTGTAAAACAGATGCTTCGAATTCAATATCTTCCTCACATCCTCCTTCATCTTAAAAGAAACATGCGTCATCGATTCCAACAAAGCCGGGTTTTCCACAACCGTGCAAGTAGTTCCTCGGCCAAGGATCTCATTCAATCTCTTGTACCTTTTATTGAGATCATTGAACTTGTCCTCACATTGCTGAGGTGACACGTAGCAGCCCTTCTCCATCATTAACTTTGAAACAGTTTTCCACTTGCCTTTCTTCTGAAGGACGGATCGCCGCCGTGCGGCGGCCTCGACCGGGTCCGGTGTGCCTTCGTCGTTGACGAAAGCGACAACGGCAACTAGGAGACGAACCATCTCATCGGTCCACTTCATGCGATGCCATTGGGATTCCAGCTTGGTCCTGTCGCCCAAAGCGAAGGAATCATCGTCTTCATCGCTGGGAAAGGCGCCGGGGATTTGTAGGATGTGGGGATTGGGATCAACCGGTGGAGCCTTAAGGTCGTTGGGGCGGTGATGGCAGACGTTGATCAAGGGATCGAGGTCGAGCGTTATTGAGGAAGATCGGGGAAGCAGGTGGCTGGCGATCGCTGAGTTGTCCATGCTCGGGAGTCTTTAGTTACCCTTACAAGCATGGAAATGGAAAGAAGAACCCAAGAAACCCAATAAACCATGGAATCATGCTTGTTTGAGTGATAATGGAGACTAAAATGTGTACATGGCGAAACCCTAGAGATGCGGAAGAAAAAGATGCATCAGTCATTAATCATAAGAAGCAGAAATGAAGTGTATTGCCCAAACAGCTCGGGATTTATGAAGGAAAAAAAATTATGCAAGAATATTCCCCTAAATCTTATATTATGGCTGAATTATTTATTCGAATCGAATTCTCAATTTTATATTTTCATATTATTTCTTTATATAATTAAATTATTAGATAGTATTAATGGAATTATAAAATATTTAATAATATAATTATAATATCTAGTTACTTAGATATATTTATTTAATAATTTGAATATAAAATTGATACTAGCTTTTAAACATATCTGGATTAAAATTTTCAATATTAAACTCACAACAATTCAAATGACCGCCGGAAGTTTCGTCGGTATTCAATTAATTTCCTATAGCGTGACTCCAAATTGAATGAATTTCATTGAGTTTTAGATTCCAACACCACACATAATCCAAAGAATTTTGGACTGTTGTTTCTTCGAGCAGACATTTTCTTATCAAAACACACATAATTCAATCAATATAACACAAAATTCATCAACTTGTTATAACTACGAACAACATAACACATTACCGAGCAAAAATATACTATTTTAGAATTTCACTAAATTATTAAAGATCGTGCATAACACTGTTTTAAGAGTTTATTTGTATTATAATATTATTTTTCAGAGTCCAAATTATTTCCTACTCAATAAAAAAATAGCATAAACTCCAAAAACCCCAATATAAAATTTTTAGAAAAATATCTAAATGTTCAAAATTTAAGTCGTTATATCATATAAAAAATTATGAGATGAAAATTTTATCGGTGCGAAGTTATTCTCATTTTTTGATAACAAAAATATAAACATAATTAGAAAATTCAAGAAATCTCTGTATTTTTAAAAACTGAGATAGGTGTAGTTTGACTTACCTTGATTTTGATAACTTTTGTAATTGGTACAACAATTGAAAATAATCCGAAGCGATCTAAATCATCTTCTTTCTCTTTCAAAATTCTTCTATTTCCCTCTTTTGGTCGGCTGCCCAAAGCGATTGAACTAGTGGAAAAAGGATAGTTATAAGTGTTGAAATTGGTCTAGCGCCGGGGGCACCCGAAAGGCCGAAAATATAGTGCCGGAATGCTAGTTCATTTTTTCGAATTTCAGTGAGTGCAATTCCAGGGCACCATAAAACATAATGTTAAGGGGTTCTAGAGGAAAATTTTTAGATTCCACAATAAAGCATTAAGATTCTTAGAACTCGCATCAAAATACATGCACATCTTTTTCATGCATACAAATCATTTTCAGACAAATACAAAAGAGTTTAAACTCAAAAAATTGAATAGATCACATGAATTCTAGTCACATAGTCTCATATCTTTGCAATAAAAGCAGCCTTTATCGATGATTAAATGTTTATTTCCTTCATCATCATGATGTATCTTTATTTGACGATAGCCCAAAAATACATTAAAAATTCACTATAAATATCATACCATTGTATCAATTATAACATTGAAATTTAGCAAAGGATATGAATATTTTAGGAGAATAATATTTACTTTATAGACCGGATCGATCCAAGTCTTTCGCTTGAACAAAAGTTGAGCCCGCTTTTCTCCCGATCATAAAATGGTGTGCTCTCCTCCTTCGCACCGATCAGGCCGAACAACCTCCCTCATCCACTGTCTCTCCCTCCAATCACAAGGAGTACTCAATTATTTCCCTAATTGATTAGATTCTCCCGCATGTAGCATCCCTCTCATGTCATTTAAACATGTTAGAGACCAAGGGCATCAAATTTCCCTTTCTTCTTTTCTTCATAAGTTGCCTTCTTCTCCCTACTCGTTCCTTTTAAGCAATAGCTGCCTGCAGTTAGGGGTGTCAATATTTGACACGACACGAAAACCCGACTCGAATCCGACCCGAAAAATCCGGGTTGGACCCGACCCGAATGCAAAACGGGTCGGGTTCAGGTTCCAGAAATCGACCCGTTTGAAAAACGGGTCGGGTTCGGGTTGACCCGACGGGTTGCCGGGTCAACCCGTTTGACCCGAAACGTGCATGCCGCGCTTCGCGCTCTGACTCCCTCGCGCGCTTCGCCCGCGTTCGCGCGGTCGCCCCGCGCGCTTCGCCCCGCGCGCTTCGGCCGCAATCCGTTCCGTGTCGGGTCAACCCGACAACCCGCCGGGTCGGGTTCGGGTTCTGATTTTCGACCCGTTTGCCTAACCGGGTCGGGTTAGGGTCAACCCGTTTGAACCCGGGTCAGTTCCGGGTCCGACCCGAACCCGACCCGTGACCCGAAATTGACACCCCTACCTGCAGTGAGTCCTTCCTTCAATAGTTAGTTCAAACTTTCCCTTTTCCCCTCTCTTTCCTTTTTTCTTCTTGAATGCCGAAGTGTAGGTTGGATGTTCTCTCTTTTGTAGAGTTCATGTTATTTAATTGTATTATGTTGAAATACTAATATGATGAGCTAGGAAGGAAATCTTATATGCATCTCCATTGATTCTTAGAAAAAAAAAACATTATGTTTGAACATAATAAAAAATAAATATGAAGCATTAAAAAAAATATCGTATAGGAACCTTAATCCCACCTTCAAAAGTCTTATTTTAGGTTGTCGAGTAATCCTCATTTACAACATTAACTTATTTTATTTAATAAAATCTCCCCAAATAGTAATAATAACTTTCAAGAATGGCAACTTCATGGTTAAGTGTCCAATAATCATCATTGTTTTGAATTATTTTGGCATAAATCAATAAGATACCCAAAATGCAACATATATAGAAGGAACTATGATGATCATGAAGTTTATTTATGTGACTTCCTAACATTTATCAATACCGTATATGGCATATAAAGTAATGATACATTGATACCTCGAAGTAAGCTTCATTCTCCTAAAAATCTATCAAGATGTCCATCATATAACTTGAAGTTCTCCACATTTAAGTTTATCATGTCAATAAGATAAAAATTATATGTTTCAAAGTGATCAATTATTATGCCAAATATAATGGCAACATCATATCAGTGGCGAAGCCAGAAACTTTTTATAGAGGGGGCACACACACATTTATTATATAATTCATTTAAGGGATAATTTGAGAAGAAAAATTATATATATATTGAATGCACAAATTCTATAAAATACTATTCAAATAGACACCATGGAGTAGAATAGAAATTAGATAGCATGGTGCTAGGAATCAAAGCCTATAAAATGGATTAAGTATACATACTCAATGAATAAGATATTTAGACACAATTTTAATTTCGAAGCTATTAGATTCACTTTGAGATGAGTGCAGTATAAATTTTTCATATGCTATAAAATTTTAAATGCAATTTCAACAGATTTTAAATTTTATTTTTCTCTATTCAATATATTTCAATATCAAAATATATTTTCTAATAATTATTATTCTCAGCTTCATGAGGTCCAAAATAGAATAGGTGAGATCTACTTAGGTAGAAGGACGAGGGTAAATTACTAAATTCTAACCAGAGAAAGGTCTCATTTGGGCTGGCAAAAGGATTTGAATGCCTTTTTTTTTTCTTCCACATAAATTATGCTAACTGATCATTGCATGGAACATAGCATTTTAAGGAAGCTCGTGAGGAAATTAATATATCTTTGAATAAAACAAATTAATATATCTTTGAATAAAATATGTCGAGTATAAATAATCAAAATAGAAAAATTATAAAATAAAATTAATATATCTTTAAATAAAAAATTTAATATCATTTTATCATTAAAGTAATTATTTAAATATTAAATATATACTAACTGTTATTTTAATTTTTTAAAATATTTAAATATTAGTTTAATTATTTAAAATATATATCAATTAACTGTAATTATTATTTAAAATATTTAACTATTATTTTAACTGTTATTATAATTAATATATAACTCTCTCTCCTCCTCAACTTTAAGGGCATCTCCAACCGAACGACAAACACTTGTTTGCCGTTCTTGCTTTGCTCCAACCGATCGCCATTTTTGACGCCATTTGATCGCGGATGAACAGTGTGACACCAATATTGGCGTTGCACTGTTCATCTGCGCCATTTTTTTTATCTCTACCGAACAGGTTTGGAAGAAAGGCGCGAAAGAAAAGTGACGGTTTTAGCGGCAAAATGGCGTTGGATTGGAGATGAAACACGACATTTTTTATTTCACTGCATTTTGGAGTGAAAAATGAGATTTTCGGTTGGAGATGGTCTAACTCTCTCACACCCATTAAATATTTACTCTACTATCTCTCTCTCCGGTCAGCTTTTTCCCCTCTCTTCCTCCTCTCTCTCTCTCTCTCTCTCTCTCTCTCTCTCTCTCTCTCTCTCTCTCCTGTCCTCTCCCCTCTCTCTCTCTTTTTCTCTCTTGGGAATACGTTAATTAGATTGACGCATTTAGAATGCACATAATTATTTAGATCATTCTAAATGCACCAAATTGTTAAGCGTATATGCTCCTTTTTAAATTTTTTGTTAATCATACTTCTTTTACATAATGGCATTTTAACATGTTCTTTTCTAAAATTGGGCCGTACTGTTGTCAATTAGCTGTTCAAAGATGTCTTACATTTTCAAGACGGAATATTCAATGGCTTCTCAATATTGACCGTAAACGAGACCCCAAGAAGCAAGAACTTGCAATGGCGTTCGCCGCCCACGCGGAGCAACTCTGAACAATTTTCTACAGTCCACGCGGCTCCCACATCTACCTAACGAAGCCTCGCTATTGGCAGAAAGCGGGAGTGACGGTTAAAACTCAATCAGTTGAAGCCGACACCGATCGAGAATCCGCACTTAATGGCTTCCTCAGATTCCGTCAAGTAAACGATATCTGCTTTTAATCTTCTACTTCGAGGAACAACATACCGGAAAAGTTGAAAATTTGCGGAAATAAATCCCCTAACATTTCCCCGAATCCCTCAACTATCTGCTTCTTTTCAAACGGGCGATACACAAAGAGGCTCTTTGGTGAAGGGAGGAGATCAGAAGATCTTCGCACGAGATGTGAGTTCTTTTTTCTAGCTCAATTCCCTCTTTTTCTAAATATTTTACAATTTGTTAATTTTCATGAACCGTTTGGTGTTTGTTGTTGTTTTTAATTCCTGCACATTCTTGTTTAGAGCTGCTCTGATGTTATTTGGCAGAGTAAGATGTCATATAAAATTTTAAATCATGAAACAAATAACCAAATAATTTAGCACCAACCGCATCAAATACATTTTTACGCCAATTCCAAGAAAAATTATCTTTGGTGTTTTTTGTTCCAGAAATATTTGATGATTTTTATTAACATTTTTGACATGGCAAGCGCAGTTCTCGCATCTTTCTCCCAGTTGATCTTCAGTTTTGCGTAGCTTTTCTAACAATTCCTGCTTATTATGGTCTCCAATGGCGCAGATTCCAATTTTTTTGCTTAATAGTCGGTCATGGAAGATCAAATGAAGTACCCAACAGTCCTTCAGAAAGTTGCCGCTCATATCCGTGTAAGTTCCAGCTTCTCTCAGGATTCAAGAGCTTGCAACCAGTACTCTTACAGGCCTTTTTCTATACCTGAGAGGCGATTCCCCACCGCCACCGGCAGCTTTGCAAATAACCTCACAATGGTTAAGAGAGCTTCACCTGTTTTTGCACAAGCACCTTCAGAAAAAGGCATTGCAGGCTTTGCCGTCGACTTTTTGATGGGTGGAGTCTCCGGTGCTGTTTCAAAAACCATTACAGCTCCTATTGAACGTGTTAAGCTACTGATACAGAACCAGGATGAAATGATCAAGTCTGGTCGTCTTTCTGAACCTTATAAGGGGATTACAGACTGTTTTTCACGTACGGTTAGAGAGGAAGGTATTGGCTCATTATGGAGAGGAAACACAGTGAATGTTCTTCGTTACTTCCCCACCCAGGTGAGACATTTAATTATTTTTTGTCGTCATGTATTAAGGTGTTATTGTTGCATATGCCGTCCATTAAGGTCCATTCCAAAGCCCTGCATTAGGTACCCATACCCACACCCACCCATGTACCCACCCATACTCAATGGGCATGGGTGGGTATGGGTACGCTCATGGCATCGTGGGTGGGTATAGGTGGGTACTCAACATCAAAGGACAATCGACTTATATTACTAATTATCATATACATGTAGTATATTATAATAATCCTTACTATGCAATGTGCAATACTGAACCGCGTCACAACCATGATAAATTTTGATATGTAGCTTGAAAGTTTGCAGTCAGATAAAATGGCAAAAAACCTCAAGGCCATTAATCTATGGCAAACTGCATTCAATAAGCTAGAAAGTGGGTGGGTGTGGGTGGGTATGACATCAGGAAAGTCACCATAGGTGAGTGTGGGTGGGCAAAGCCCGTCAGCGTAGAGCGTGGGTACCCAATGGGTATCCAACTAGGACCCCATGTAGGGCTCTGGTCCATTCTCTGCTTTCCCCAACAATAGGAATAGGGTGTATTTTAATTGGCTTGAATTTGGTTTTAGGTTAAAGTATTCAATTAGGGTAATAGTTGTAATGAGTAGTTTATGAGTGTGTTAGTGGGACTTGATTGTTTATAGATTATTAGTTCTTGTTAGCAGGGGCGGAAACAACCCTAATTTTCAGGGAGGGGCAAACTTATAAGACATATATGTCGGGGATCCAAGGGGGCAGCACCCCCTGGCGGAATTCGACCAGTTTTTTGGGGCAATTAACTAAAAATCAAAGTATTTTAAAATTTTTAGGGGGGGGGGCAATTGCCTAAAAACCCTTGTTAGTAGCTATCATGTGTTTAATGAATCAGTAAGACGTAATTCTATAAACATTCATCCTTAGGGGTTGTTTGGTATCAGAATTGAGCTATAATTTAAGAGGGATTTAAGATAAATCCTTCCCAGTAGTTTTTGGAGGTCATCTAAATCCAACGTATGTGTAAATCCAAGATTTACAAATTTACGGAGTAAATTCGTATAAATCTATATCCTATTGAGAGATAAATTTAACAGAATTTGGCCGAGGAAGCGTGTGAAAGAAAGAAAGATGGCTACCTTGGCAACGAGCAAGAGCAAGCTCCTGTCATCATCGTTACTTCCGATCCAATAGAGAATGGAGAGGAGTGTGTGGTTTCAAATCCGATAGGAAGGAACGTCGTGGAATGAAGAAGTTATTAAGCGAATTGTTTAAAACTCCCTCTCAGGCGAAGCTGGTGAAGTCGAATGGCAACGAACAGCTAGAGTAGGGGAAAAGAAAACTTGCGGCTAAGGAAGACAGTGACGAACTTGCTAAAGAATATACAAATAAATTAATTTAGTTTTATTAGATTAAATAAAATAATTAATAAATAAATATAATTAATAAATAATTTAATACTTAAATTAATTGATAATTAATATTTGATTACTTTTTTTATAATAGTTAGTTAGTAATGGTAATTAATAATTAATAATTAATTCATAAATAATTAAAAGTATAATAAAATTATAATTAATTAGCTATTTCATAATTAAATTATTATTATTATTATTTTTATAATTATAATTTATTTACAGTTTTTAAAAATTTAATTATTAAGTAATTTTTATTTAAAATAATAATTAAATTTAAAACAAAAATAATTTTAAATTTTTAATAAACTAATAGTCCTAAATCCTATATTATATTGGAGTCTATTAGTGTCTATATTATTATTACTCTATCATAGTATCATATACCCTTATAGTTTCTATTATACGAGTTCATGTTGGATAATTTATTATGTGGTATGTAATTATCTTAAATTTATAACAAGTTTATTGATGTAATTCAACGTTATTTATTCGTATTTAAATCTCTAATTGTCATAAATCCTGAAATCTATTGTCAAACAATTTTTTATAATTTAACAGGATTTAACATTTATCATATCAAACAATTATCAAAATTTAACAACCTTAGAAATTTTTAATACCAAACAGCCCCTTACGGGAGTGTTAGAGATGCAAATGAAACATCCGAGCTATGGCTCTTTTTTCTCTTCTTCCTCCATGAATTTCTGAAGTTGCGGGCATCTTCCAATTGCCCTTCTTTTCTTTCAAATCTACTTCTGTGATTGTAGCCAAATTCAAAATTGTCAAATTATCATATTATCTTCCTTCTTTCGCTTTCATGTTCATAGCATGTTCATAACCCTGCCTTTAAATTTGTCTCCAAAACAACTAAAATCAGTTGGATGTGTTTAAGCAGGAACATCCATTCGCAAACTCAAAATCCTTTTTTTTTTTTTTCCTTTTCATTTAAATTAAAGCATCTTGTTTATTCCATCTCCAGGCCTTGAACTTTGCGTTCAAAGATTACTTCAAAAGTATGTTCAACTTTAAGAAGGATAAGGATGGTTACTGGAAATGGTTTGCTGGCAACTTGGCTTCCGGAGCTTCTGCTGGCGCGACTTCCCTTCTCTTTGTCTATTCCCTGGATTATGCTCGTACTCGTTTGACAAATGACGCCAAGGCCGCTAAGAAGGGTGGAGAAAGGCAGTTCAACGGTCTAGTTGATGTCTACAGGAAAACCATTCAATCAGATGGCATTAGTGGCCTCTACCGTGGGTTTAACATCTCATGCGTTGGCATTATAGTTTACAGAGGATTGTACTTTGGAATGTATGACTCTATCAAGCCGGTGCTCCTCGTCGGAAGCCTGCAGGTAAGTGCAAATTATTACGTGAAGAGTCCGAGCCATAACCTCAAAAATATACCGAGCGCGATACTGAACAGTACTGAGCTCGGTACCAAATAATACCGGACGATTCTCCTGTCCGGTATCCGCACAAAATAATCTCTTGGAAGACTTGCTTGTATCTTCTCATTACATATTACAAGCATTTGAGTTTAGAAGTATCTTTTGATTTGGTATTTGGAAAGCCTTTTTCTGAAACTTCAATGAATGGGATGTTAAATACAGGATAGTTTCTTGGCAAGCTTTGCCCTTGGTTGGTTGATCACAAATGGAGCTGGGCTTGCAGCCTATCCAATCGACACTGTCCGTAGAAGGATGATGATGACCTCTGGCGAGGCAGTCAAGTACAGGAGTTCCATGGATGCATTTTCTCAGATTTTGAAGAATGAGGGGCTGAAATCCCTCTTCAAGGGTGCAGGTGCCAACATCCTTCGTGCAGTTGCAGGTGCTGGTGTGCTTGCCGGCTATGATAAGCTGCAGATACTTTTTTGGGGAAAGAAATATGGTTCTGGTGGCGCTTAAGTTCATTTATAAGGACGTTTGATGTTCTTTATTTATTTTTTTTTAAACCTCCATGAATGGCACTATGAACCTGTAATTTGGGGAATTTTGATATTTAGTGATACTTTGTATTCAGTGGAAGATTGGTGATTCTCAGGACTTGAAATTGATGGTGACTGACTATTATTACACAAAATTTAAACACTATCAATAAGTTCCACGAAGGGAATCTCAATCTTCTTTAAATAAAGTGCTGTAGGCAGAAAAGAAGTTCAACCAGAACTTGCATTCTGCAGTCATGACATTATTTCAACCCAGTAATGCCATCGCCTCTTGAACAAACACAATGCTCAGAGCATGATCACTTTTTGAGTAAAAAAAAAAAATAGATGAGATTCAGAAAGGGATTCTAGAATTAATCCCATGTGTGCATACAAAAGTCAACAAGCCTGTTACAGCTTTAGCAAGCTTTAAGAGCATCTTAGGCTTCATTTGGGATGGCTTTTTTTCTGCTTCTTAAAAAAGCTTTTTATTATAAAAATTAAAATTTTTGTACTATAAAGCTGCTTTAAGAATCAATAAAAAAGCCGTTCCAAACAAAGCCTCGGTGATGCAAAAAAACATAGGTTTGCTGCTAAATGTGAGATTTGGTGAACTGAAATTCCAAATCATACCGCTTGTTAGCATCCAAGGCTCCTCACTATGCTACTGAGCTCATCAATGACCATTTCAGGTCTGACATATGATCCAGCAAGGTTAATTGCATGATATTCTAGACCTCTCCATTGAGAAATTAATGAAAAATGTGGACGCTGATATTGGCTACTGATTATTTCAAGAGCGATTGTTTTTGATCTTGCTGAGACCAAGTGTGTAAGCCCAGCTCCATGAGCCCCTATAACAACTGAAGCCTCATAAATGGCAAGGATTTGCTCTTTCATCGACATATGAGCAAAGAGACCATTAACAACATTTAAGCTGCATTTAGTGTGGTTAGCTGCCCAGTTCTGTATTGCAGTAAAAACCTCAGGCTCATTACTCAACCGGGGCTCCAATTTTCCACCATGGCGAGGATGAGCTAAGTAATCTTCGCGACGGACAAAGAGGACATTATGAACTGTGGATGGTCTCTTTAGTGAGATTTCATCAGTCGGAAAACCAAAAGCTGCTCGAAGCATTTCTCCAAACTCTGATAATCTGGCAGTTTTATGGTTCTCAGGGCTTGCTTTCAGATTGTTTGCCGTTGTCCCTTGGCAAATAAATGATTCAGATAGACCTTTGAACATGGCTGTCTCATACCCCAAAGGTGAAAGTATCGCATGCCGGAAACACACGCTGCCTGTAAAATGTTTGGCATATCTGACGCTAGTAAAGAGTGCCTCCCAAGTTTCCTCCAGCGGTGCCTGGTTATTTATTATGTAAAAAAAAGGCAAATAAAGAAAAAGAGAATGCAAAAATTAGGATGAGAAGATAGTGAGATGGGACGGTAAATTGCTATGTATCTAATAAATTAGCCAACAGCAACGCATAAAAATAGAGAAAAAGGAACGATGATGGAGATGTCTGAAGAAAAGTAAAGTCAAACCAAAAGGTTAGATGGGTAGCCCATGATTGGCATTTGCCTGGCAGGGGAGGGAAGGAGAGGACAGATATTAGCAGCATATGGCAGCAAACTGATTTAGGCTTAGTTTGGGATGACTTTTTTACTGTTTTTCAATAAAAAAATTAAAAATTTTGTATTAAAAAACTGTTTTAAGAAGCAATAAAAAAGCCTTTCCAAACGAGATGCAAACTTGTTTAAACAGAATTTAGAATAATAAGTTTTACAAAAATGGGCAGAAATTCAAAACATGGTATAGAAAATTTAGTTGCTATGATTGTTGATTAGAATATAAAATCACAATAAAATAGCCAAAAACATAATTTTGTACAGTAGAACTGTAGAACAATCCTAAAAGCCCCAAACCTGGTATTTGGAAAAGAAAAACTACTTACCAAGAAATTTAAGTCTCCAATAAAGCCATTCCCAAATGGTAGATTTTTGGACAGAGCGGGACTCATAGCCTCACCCGACACAATTGAGGAATAGCTAATGGTGATTGTGATGATTTCAACTAATTTAAATTTGCATTGATAATCCTACTGCACATAGTATGGCTAGATTTCAATCTGTATTAAATGACAAAAGGCCGCAAGATTTAATACATATATTTCATAATATGTTCAATGAAAAAAAAAAAACTGTCGATAGGACTAAAATTTCAGAAGTCATAATCCAACTTTTTTCCCTGAACTGACTATAACGGGACATAAGAATCCCGTCCATGTCCGTTCAAACTTCGAAGTACATCAACACTTTCATATTCCACCAGCATTCCTTCTATGGCAAATTCTTTAATTGTAAAAATTAAAACAATAATAATCAACAATCATTATAATTCCATGATCACCTTATTCTATCACCATATTTGGATAAGTCAAAATATTTAAACTAAAATTAAGTGATAAGATATTAAGGAGCACTAAAAGTTTTTTTTCACAAAACTTATTCAATAAAGTGATCCTAAGCATTCAATATCCATATGTACCATAGTCAAAGTAAATATCTGTCTAAATAACCACATAGAACATATGATTTAAAACTTTCAACTACAGAGTAATTTCTTTTTCAGAAAAAAGTTATGATGGTGAAAATATCATCCGTGCATGCATTCTTGAGTGAGTGTGCTTGTGTCATTAGGCATCATACCTTGCAATGGCCATCAACAAATATCAAATGAGGTCTGTTAGGCAAGTCTGTAACTCTGGAAGAGACATATGCGCTATACCAATCAGTAACTGTGTGAAAAAGGTTTGCATACTCAAAACGTGTCACCAGAATTGTAGGTTCTTCTATCCACTACAATTAAAGTCAATCAATAATGTCAGCAGCAAGTAGAATATCATAATTAGAAAGATCAAAATTGCAAAAAAAAATTTTGTTTGAAAGGGCAATTAAGAAATCTTATATATTAAATTTCAATATGTAAAGCTATTTTAACAGTCCCAAGATTATAACTTTAGTATTTCTATATATATATATATATATATGAGACTATAACTTCTAGAATTAATGTTGGATGATAAGATGATATTTTGAAGATAAATTTGATTTAACTACAATTTAGGTTGACAATGTAATATGGATCAGAGTGCGGGTAGTAAAAAAAAGTTAACAGGAACGTTAAGATAGATGCATGATTAAACTATGAATGATAACAAAGAAACGATTAAATTGGATAAATGATTCGAGTAACATATTCTAAAGATGTTACTCCACTGCAGCACCAAACCAACACCTCCCAAGGCTTCCCCCCATCTCAAATCCCACAAAGGCAATAGGAAAAACATCTACAAATAAGCAAGCACTTCATGTTATGGCTTCCTCTTGTCCATGGAGATATAAGGTCAAAGGAATGCAAGAAAGATGAGGGTTGGTCGATTCATAGTGCATCAGAAATATAGGAAAAGGTAGGGCACTTAATCTAGGATAAGCTTAAGCGCTCTCCTTAAGCCTGTTATATTGGGACTTAGGATACGTTAAGCAAATTAAGATTTTGTTTGGGATGGCTTTCTTACTACTTCTTAAAGCAGCTTTTTAGTACACAAATTTTTTGTACTAGAAAGCTGCTTTAAGAAGCAGTAAGAAAACCGTCCCAAACGAAGACTAAGCTTTAAGTGATTGTCAATTATTGCATATGGAAACCAAATATAATGGCATTGAAATAATTTAAGTAGCCATCTTAAGTACTATGCAAAATATGATAATTAACTTCTAGCTCCAATCATACCAGCTAAACTCCAAAAGAAAACTGATTGTGGGCGAGCAGATATAGCATATGCTCATAGAGATATATACCTTTATGAAGTTTAAAAGAGAAACATCATGCGGACACATCTCAATTTTATATACAGCGGAACCAAGATAGCAAAATAGTAGCAAAATAATAAAACCCTATCATGACACACAAAAATAGCAAATGATAAGACGTGCCAACTCAGTGGCATGGTCACATGGTGACCAAAAGAACCAAAAATAGAATAATAGCCCACATGCAAGCATATGAAAAATCATAACGCAGTCTCCCAAAGTGATAAAAAAAATCCAATTACCCCGATTGCAATTCAAGCTAGGCCCAACAATTTGTATTAATGTAAGCAACTGATAACAAATATAATGATTTGTAATCACCTAATGATATGCCTATCTCCATGCACATTTGTTATATATTACAATGGAATTTCTGTTGCTTCATTGATTCCTAGTTGTTGGGCTTTTGCAATCAATAATAAAGCTCCTTGTTAGTTGATCATAAGCATTTTTTTCAAAATACCCTCACTACATAAATCCTACACCCAAACATGAACGTGAAATGAAATCACAGCACATTAACACCCTAAATAAGCAAAAATAGAATATTTCCAGCATAGAGGAGATGATGCAAAGAACTTAAAGTAATCAAAGAAACTTTACCACAAGTTATGGTTTGGGCATCATATTACTGAAAGGAATGAGGAAATAGGAGCAGTCGGAAGAAGAAGACCTGCCAAAAGCTTGGAAGTTAACAACGTCAAGGCGCAAAAAGGATAAATCACTTGAAGGAGCAATGAAGGGACAAATGAGAGAGAGAAGAGAGGATCATAAAAAAGTCACGTATGACAAGGGAAACATTGCATTAGTCTCCAGAAGCAGGGAGTCATGGAGAATTGTGATCACAAAGGAGAGAGTGAAGGTAAATAATACTAAGCTTCTAATCACATTTTCTCACCAGCTGCAGGGAGACATGAAGAATTGTGATCATAACGGAGAGAGTGAAGGAAAATAATACTAAGCTGCTCACATTTGCTCGACCTTTCCCCAATCAGGAGAAAAAAGAGGGGTCGGGTAGATTGAACTCAGCAAAGCAAATAAAATGCTTATTTGATTGATATAAGTAGCTTAAGTTGTTTTACGCTCAACTTAAGCCGCAACCAAATAGGCCCTGTAACCTAACATAAGCTCTAAACTAAGATAAATGTGGTATAACTTTAACTTCTGCTATCTAATATATCTGCTAACAATTAACAAGCTTTACCATCTCAAGCTAGCTTAAACAAGTTACGCCCAACCAATCCGCCCTAATAAGCTAATCACGTAAATTTTGTATAAATTGGTGTTATGGAGTTCTATCTAGCGCAGACTTTGGAAATTTGCACATTGTATGATTCAAAATACCTGGAAGTAAGAATTGTTCAAATTCAGTTCAAGTTAACTACCAAACAACTCTTGCCATAATACCTGCGTTAGAACTACCATATCCAGATAAATTCACTTGGCCAGCATTTTGTCCAATAAAAGTTGAAAGCTTTTTAAATAATAATAATAAATACGGGTAAAAAACAAATAATAGCAAGTGACCTGCGAGCATTGGAGCTTCCCGGGCTCAACAAATCTCATCGACTCCATCAATCCTCGCATTGTGTGAAAATGTATAGCCCCTTGCGGAACATACCGATCGAGAAACTCTTCATCCAACACCCTCCCACCAGCGCGGCTCCCGTTGCTTCCATCTCCCTCAACTTCGAAGGATCCACTCTCAAACTCGGGAAGTTCCTCCTCCTCCCTCCGCCCCATAACTGACTTCAAACCCTCCCCTCCAACCGACATCTTGATCTTGCTCGGATCCATCCGCAAGCGTCCCCCTTCGCATATTGAACTCCTGAGCGTCGCGCTGTAGAAGCACCGGAACCACCCGCCACCACCGTGGGCCTCGATCCGGCGAGAGAATCCGTTGCCGAAGTACGCCTCGCAGGAGCGGAGAGGAGGCTTGGGGCTAGGATTCCAAGGGAGGAAGGATGGGAGGAAAGGCCAGGGCTTAAGGGAGGTAGTGGTTACGGATGAGTTTAGGGTTTCGGGGGTCGGATGAGTGGGAGGGTGGAGGAAGAAGTAGAAAGCAAGGGATAGGGAGTTGACAACGGAGAGGAAGACTATACTTCTGATGAGCAGCGCTCGCTGACGCCGGTTCATTGCCGACGTCGATCGGAAAATTATCTTTTCGGCACCAGTCGAGGCAAAAACCACTGTCAGCCTGCGGAAGATTTATAAGGCGAGCGAGTTTAACTAGGATTTCTCAGAAAAACAAAAAAGTCTAACTAGGATGAGTCATATCAGGTCTTCAAGTGTCATGCTGGCACTTCTTATGCTATATGAAGGCTGCATTTTGTCCTTGCCGCGTCCAAGCTCCAGCTTTGCGCCGGCAACCGCCGGTGGAGAGAGAGGGAAGACAAGCAATTATTCCACGAAGGAGAGGGTTGCACTTCCGACAAGCAATTATTCTACGAAGGAGAGGGTTACACTTCCGACGAACAATTTGGGGGAGAATTGCTTCTGCAATACCCGCAGGCCGCAGTACAGCTGCCAGTGTCGTCGCCTTTGGTTCAATGTTTTCACTTTTGACGGCCTTTGACATCCTCCTAATTGGAAAAAATTATTAGGTCCGGTATGTAGAGATATTTTCGGGCATCTATAAAAAAAATTGATCCATTGAGTGTATTTTAGTTGTGTTTTTTTGTGTTCTTTAACTGTGCTTTATTTGTGCTTTACCTGTATTTTAATTATGCTTTACCTATGATTTACATGCGTTTATTTGCGCTTTAGTTGCACTTTTGATGCGCTTGATTTAAAGTTCTGCGGACACATTAAACATATTGAACATCCACGTGTCGACATTTTATTGACGTCCGAACATATCTATACGTCTGATGTCCGGACCTAATAAATTTCCCCTAAATTTAGTATTAGGGATAGTGTTGAACAGTTTATGCCGTGAAGACTTGAAATCAATATTTTTAAAAAATTGTAAGTAATATATATTAAATTATATTATTATTATTATTATTTTATTCAAAATAAAATTATTTTTTAATTTAAATATTTATTTTATTGATATATTTATTTTAATATTAGACATGCAAATATGAATATGAATCTGAATCTACAACATCTATTAAAATATGTAAATTTTTTATGTGGTGACACTTCAAAAAGATATAGTGAAAAGGAGAAAGATAATGCTCAATAATGTAACATTAATTTTTTTGAAAATAAGAAAAAAAAATGGTGAGATAAATTAAGAGAAGGAAGAAACAAATAAATTTCTTTTTAATGAGTAAGAGAGAATGCAATTATAATAAAAAAAGAGAGAATGCAATTATTTATCTTATTTCTCTTGAGAGCTGAAAAAAAATAAAAGAAAACGGTTATAATTAGTTCGTATTTTAGAGTTTTCATTGTTATAATGAAGCCAAAACCCACTTATTTTATGATATTAATAATTTTCTTAATTGTTCCTTAGACTTTATTTGAGGATGACTAGCAGAAGAGATCTATATATTGAAAATACATTTAACATCAAAATCATAAACTTCTAATTGGCAAACTAGGGGCCACCATCATTTATGATTTCCAAATTTAAAAAGAAGAATAATAAGAAGAAGATTTTAGATTACAGAAACTTCATAACAACATGATGTTTTCCTTTGGCCAAGAGCATAGCTTCGATCGAAATCACAAAGTAGCGCATGCGAACCAATAGTAATTATCTCTTAGCAGTCAGTAAAAAAAGTGAATTGATGAAATTCATCTCTCAAATAGTCGATTATTGTTGTTTAACTAGGCTAGTGTAAGTGCTTCCAAGGGAGCTAGCAACTTTGGTATTTCACCAACAATCTCCTTTCTATCACATCTTAAAGTCTACTAATAATATCCTTATCAAAGGATTCACTTAGTGAGCATCTCCGCTATATGCGCATACGTAGTCATGGGAACCCGTGGAGTGACTTATGACTCTCTAAAGTGAACTTGTGATAGTATTCCATTAGCTTTAGAGGGTTGTTTGTATTGGAGGGTAATTATAGATAATGACTTGTATAAATCCCCAATATATACACAAAACTTCAAGCTCATTGATACTCGAGTTATTAACCTACTTAATAATCGAACAAGAAGGTTCCCTTTATAAGAATTTAAATATGATAATACACCAACATTCAACATAATCAATCTACAATGCCTTTTCCTTAGCAATGATTCGAGTATTGAGTTTATAAACTAATGTGAATTGTTATTGTGTAGAAATAAATCATTTCGACATTTCTTCAAGGAACATGTTGAATTTTGAACTTTTTTAACTTTATAGCCTCACTTTAAATTTTAGACAAATAGTTCTTCAAAATCATGTCACACAATTCATACTTTCGCTAATAAGGTTGATGATCTACTAAGAAAAATCATAACCAATAAGTTTTATTGACATCAATTCCAGTATGATATGGATTGTTGTCATCTTAGCCGCATATGTAGCTTGATCATTTATTACATTAATGGTGATCATAAGAGCATTATCAAGAAACATTTCTAGAGGACTTCTTATAACAACTCTAACTCTACTTTGATGCTGTTCTAACCAACTTGACACCCTTAATTTGCATTTATCAATAAGATTCTTCATCAACCTATTCTAAATCGATAGGCTCTTTTTCTGAAAAATAAAGAAAGATGTTAGAATTTGGGCTTCGATGGAAATTCATGATAGGAATTTAATGTCATACTCACTAAGATTAATAGAACACTTTTTTTTTTTTTTGGGCTATAAAAACCATTATATAAGATTAATAGAACACTTCATCATACAACTTGTGAAAGTTTCAATTTCTAAAAAATGCCTCATAGATTTGTTATTAATGATCTTGATTGTAATAACCTGATAAATTATTTTAAAATGAAAAAATATAACAATTTTGAAAATGTTAAAATGGAGTGTTACGGTGCTTAGTATTTCAGTACTCCAGCGTAATAGTCTAAGAAAAAATTGAAAATAATACGACAAAGCGGCATTGAAATTTAGAACATTGTGGTGCCATGCAGCGCTACGATGTTTGACCGTCGTGGTGATAGACCACAAATAATATTTATATATTGATAAGTGTAAATAATGTTATATTTTATGTGTTTATTTGTGAGTAAAAAATTGTTATTTTTGTTGTGTTTGTGTAGGAAAATACAGTAAATGAGAGAAATTTTCAAGTATGACACATCATCGCAGTGTCAGACATAATACTACTGCGGTACCATCAATGAAATCGTCGGAGCTCCCAAATGTCGACATATGGCCATGCCTAGTCTATGTTTGATAGTGTCGCAGCTTCAGAGGATATAACACCGCAAAGCTCAACTAACTATCTCAATGTCGTAGCATTAGAGGAGTCAGCACTACAAACCCTAATCTTTATCTGCACAGCACCGCGACACCAAATTCCAGCTATGCTAAGGCAAGGGAGTGCCACGTGGACATTGCAGCGCTCAACCATCAGCAGCACTACGACGCTACAATTGTAACTGTTCAGGCCATAATCTACCAGTGAAGCAACACATCGATTAATTAAAACAATGGGTTCATGTCAACAAGCGCCGCAACGGAGGAAACCCTTCAGTGCTGCAGCATTAGTTTATTTTATGTGCATCGCAGCGTAAGTGTCTCAAGCATCGCGACATCAGAATTTGTATTTAAATTATTTTAAAATAGATTTTACTCAAAAAATTCATTATAAATTATTTAAAAATCCAAAAAATACGTGTAATATACCGAATCGATCATATTTTCATTCTATTTAATTTAAAATAGTTTTAATTAAAAATATTATGTATATTTTAAATTTTTTTAGTTATTAAATATTTTTATTTTTAAATTAATAATTAATTTAAAGTTATAATTGATATTATTATTTTAAGTATTTAATTTCTAATTTTTCAAATAATTAAATACTTAAGTTTTTTTAAATAAATAATTAAATCTAATTTTAAGATATTTGCTAAATAATTATTTAATCATTCTTTTAAGCTATTTTAAAATTTTAGAAACTTTGATATTTAATTTAGTTTGATTTAATAATTATTTTTAAACTATTTTAAATAGCTTTTAATGATTTTAAACTTTGATAATTTACTATGAATTCATTTTAAATCATAAAAATACGAATAATATCTCAAATTTTTTAGAAAAGTATGTATTTTATTATAAAATTATTCTCAAATACTTTTATTATTTAAATAAATAATATGTTAAATATTTTGAAACCTCTCTTGGGAGGCCAGTGGATCTCCCATCCATTTACATATTTAGTTATATTGAACTATTTTAAGAAGTACTTTTGATGTTTGACTTGATTAATAATCCTTATTATAGGAAATATTGAAATTATACCATTCATTGGTTGATTAATTACTTTATGTTAAAACGGATCTAACCCATTTTGAGACCCTAACAAATGTCATGAATTTGGACATGTTTATATTTTGTTTGTCAGTGGGTACATTTTGTTGCTTTTCCATGATATTATTTATGATCCATGATTCTTTTATATGTATATATTTTTTACACCAACTAAATTATTTTATTTTTTCACATCATTAAACTTTGAGGGGCTAAAATAAATTTGTTTATTCTTATGTGAACTGTTAACTCTCATTTTATAGTTGTGTATTTCTATTATGAATATTCATTATTCCTAAATTAGTTAGGATTGATGCACTATTACTATCTTTATATTTTCTATTTAGAAGATCGTTGTTCCTGTTTTGTTTTCTCAAAGTTATTATTGATTTTATTATCATGATTTATTCATATCCCTTTTCTTAGTGGATTTGGTTTAGATAAATTATTTCATATATTTACCAAATAGTATATTCGCACTCAATTGTGATTTAGGGACATTTTGATAGATTTAAAGGATTTGTGGCCTTATTCCCTCTTGTGCTCGTGCTTTGAGCATCTATTCTTTTGGGAAGTTTTTTTTTGCTAGATAAGTGTCTCTTAGTTATATTGCGGGTTTTGTCGTCTGAATGGATGATGATATCTGAATGTCTCATTCGAGAATTGTTGTCATACATTTTTTAATGTAATTTTTGCTCAGTCTGAGTCCGATTATGAATTCTTCATTAATGTATTTTTCAGATGTGTTCTTCCTATCCTTTGGTTGGCAATGTCTGGATTTTGTTGTACTTTTGTTTGTTGCTCATAATCTTTTGTAAGCTTCTTTATTTCCTAAAATTTTTTATGATCATAATTGTAACACTTTTGTAATGTCATATAATTAATGACGTTTTGGGCTCCAGACCTGAACTTTCAAAAAATAAAAAAGGGTTCAATAAATAGCATAGTTATTTTTGATTGTTATTCACCATGATGATTATATGTGATCATATCGACCTTCTATTTGCTATGTTATTTTGATCTAATTTTATCGTGCATACTAAGCTTTATAGAATTATTGAATGGGCTCTTTATGTTCTTTTGTAGTACTCTTCACCTATTTGTTACAAGTTTGAAATCATCGGAAGATTTAGTACTTAACAAAGTGAATTTAAAAAAAGATCTTTATTTCATATTTCCTTAAATT